TACATATCTCGAAAACTACTATAGCTATGTCAACCAAACTGTATAGAGTCGTTTCTTTCAGGCATTTCCATATACAGTTCAAAAACGGAAGAAATCGGATAATAACCACGCCCACTTCCCATACAAAGGTTATGTTGAAAATTACTAAACGTGCGTTAACCGACTAACAAAAAACGTCAGAAACACTAAATTTTACGGAAGAAATGTCAGAAGGAAGCTGCATCCAGGTTTTTTTTTTTTAAATTGAAAATGGACGTGGCGTCGCTCACTTATGGACCAAAAACCATATCTCAGGAAGTACTCAACCGATATCAATGAAATTCGGTATATAATATTTGCTTTACACCCTGATGACATGTACCAAATATGGGTGAAATCGGTTCACAACCACGCCATCTTCCAATATAACGCTATTTTGAATTCCATCTGATGCCTTCTCTGTATAATATATCCATTAGGAACCAATGATGATAGCGGAATAAAACTTTACACAAATTYGGTATTTGATGCGAGAGTATAAAATGTTCGGTGACACCCGAACTTAGCCCTTCCTTACCCGTTGATAGATAGAATTACTATTGTCAGGAAAGGGTTCTGTCTGAACTGCAATTGTATATCTAACACATTGACCGATATATTCGGTCAAAAGTCAACTGTAGATACTGGAGCCCACATATTCGGAATAAAGGGGTTTGAGCAGTTTTGATTTCCGCAATTTTCGGTCAAAAGATAGCACACTTTAAAGGAATTACTATTCACAATTTTTAAGCTATTCTATTAATTAATTCTTGATTTGTTTACTAGAAAATGAAAGAATCAAATGGAATTTAAAATTAGGTGATAAGTAGGGGTAGTTGTAATATGATTTCGCCCATTTTCCTACTGTCTATTCAGTCCGAAGTAGCACCTGCTGGCAAAAGTTATTCTGCGTTGAATTTCGATGAAGACATTATTGTTGGTGTTGATACTTGGAACCAGATGAAATTACTGTTTGTTTGATCACAGGAGATATTTCGTCTTGCTTATCTTACCTTATTCCTTTCTGGAGAAAGCAGAACTAACGGCGCGGTTGTTGAGGCCAATGATATCGATGTCATCGGCGTACGCGGAGTATGCGTTAAATAAATTTTGCTTGTTGTAGCTTTATGGGTTTAGGAGATATTTAGATTAAAGTTATTAGAGAAGGCCACGCCCACTTTTTGAAACTTTTTTGCTAACAGGTACTCCTTGCTACTGCGATCCTTTTTGCTAAATTACAGGTTTATATTTTAATTGGTGTTTAGTTATAGCACTTTATAAGTTTTCGGTCATTGACGATTTGTGGGCGTGGCAGTAGTCCGATTACACCCATCTACGAATTCGAAATTTGATTTTACTAAGGAATGTGTATATCAAGTTTCGGCAAGACATCTTAATTTTTACTAAAGTTAGAGCTTGCACAAACGGACGGACGGACATCATCATCTTAATCATTTATATATATGTAAACCTATATCTATCTCGTTTTGTTTTAGGTGATACGTAACCGTTAGGTGAACAAAACCATATACTATGGAGCAACATGTTGCAAGAGTATAAAAATGTTTTTGTACAATATGTGGATCATTGTGTTAAAAATGGTAAGAATTTCAAACTTCCCGTTGGCTTTATTAGCCAATTTCTGAGGTATCTTATTGAACTCTTAGCACAACTTCTACTGTTGAGTATGTCGTAGATAAAAACGGATCAATTCTACACCTAACTCCAGCATAACATAAGAATTTCCATTTTCCGTGTGGCTTCACTATAACGTATATATTAGTTAATGTGTAAGCTCCTAATGAAATTAAATAAATATATAATATGGGGTGTTATTTAATCCAAAAATGGGTGAAATACACGATTTGTTCAGCTCCCATTTTCTAAATATTATACATATAAAGAATTTCGCTATTCCTACAAACTTTATTTCAAATATACTTTTGGTTACTACGTTTAATTTAGCCTCATAGATTGCATTTCTATCACATTTAGTTAATCATTTTTGTTTTAATATATTTTACTAATATTTATATAACATTTAAAAAGTACGTGTCACGTTGTTTGTCCGCGATGGACTCCTAAACTCTTGAACCGATTTCAGTAAAATTTAGCACCCTGTGTGCAGTTCAAACCAACTTAGAAGATAGGATATTAAAAGCAATTCATAAATAAAAAATACAGCTCTATTAAGCGGTCAACTYTATTAACTGAGTAGAAAGGCCGGTAACCAAACATTGAGAAAGCAGCCTTAAATTCGTTATTTTTCCGATGAAATTTTTTTGTGTGAACATATTCGAAATTAAACCTCAAGTACAATCCCTTGGATTCTTATACCTGTTTTTCACTGTATTGAATAGTTTATTATATGAATAATGGTGTAAAATGTATACCACTGGATCCCCTCCCAGCCAGCATTTACATATAAAAATAAGCGTTTGGTAAGCGTTCAAATGTGAGCGAAACACTTATAAAACGCTGCTGTGACCTTTACAAAAGACATCAAAGCAAGGGGTTTATAATCGGAAAGGACCCAACTTTATAAGCGTTTAAAAGACAATTGCAAAACATGTTTTTTAAGCTTATAAAGGTTTTCTAAATGCTTATAAAACACGTTTTGAAAATACTTAAAAAACACGTATTTTTAATGAAATAAGTGAGCGTTTTAAACATTTACTTTGTTTTGGATATGTTTTTTTATTGATACATTTAAAAAATCTGTTTTAATATTAAATTTTGTTTCTTCATAGAATAATATTACATTAAAATATAATAATATTAACTTCATTGTTTTATCATTTAAAAAATCATTACTACTTAGTATTTTAGTTTACTTTTTTTGTTGTTTTAATTTTAATAGGATTTTTTGCGTACTGAAAATATGACTTAGAGGCAAACACAAAGTCCTCTTCCTTGCCTCCATTTTCAGCGAAAGTTTCTGCAATAGAATTTAAATATGAATATAGAAATGTAACTAGAAACCTTTTAAACATATTTCACTTACGATGAATAGCAGTGGCGACAGTGAAGGCCCTGATGCACTTCTTATCTGCAGTTCTTCGCCAGGAAAAGCTCTCAGCAACGTTGTCAGTCATAATCTTCTGCTACGCTTCGTAACAAAATTTTCTTGAATTGGATGTTGACCATCTTTTTAGATCTGCCTTCTAAAAATATAAATAAAATCGACATCAGTATACGGTCACCAGATATTTCACATTTAAATTCTTACCAGCAAGGAAAATTTATCTGCATCTTCCAGAATAGTTTTCTCAAAATTGAGGAAGTCTTCAATATTGGCATACGACTTACTGGGTATAATAGTAGCGTTATTATGTGATACCGCTTTTTTAAGATCAATAATTTCTTTGCGCATCCCCTCAACGTTTTCTGTTAGGCGCAACAATATTAGCTTATTTTTTTCCTCCACCYTTTCAACAGCCTTTTGACATGCGTCGATGATTACTGATTGAATTGCTGCCGAAAAAAATATAAAACAAATATGAGAAAAGTGTTGCAGTGTTATGTTAAAAGTATCCTTTAAAAATAACGTTGCACTATCCAAGGAAGTTGTTGTTGTGTTTGGACTTGGTTGCATCACATAAATAATTTGTGAGGATGCGATGTCATCGATAATGGGGTCGACAATGTAATTGAGATTGTTCTGCGACATGATCTGCTATGAGTCGCACAAATATATAAGACGATCTGGTGTAGAAGCATAKAACTTTTGATGTTACTTCGTCAAGCGTATGGTGATTCGGTGTTTTGTTAAAACTGAGATTTTCGGCACGGTGAATATTAAAAAGCGATGATTGAAGCGGCTTATCATATAAGTTATGTAAGTCTTGTACCCTTAGCCCGTGAAGTACAAAGTTATCAGCAGATCTTGATATGGAAATAAGTTTGAATATTAATTTTTGTACTAAATAAAAGTTCTCAGGTGCAATAGGTGATAAATAAAAGTTTTTAGTTTTAACAAATTTGTAAGTGCCATCACTTTGTACYGTAGATTTTTTAGAAACAATATTTGTATGATGATTTCCATGTACACTCTGCTCAACTAGTCTGTTGTAAATTTGGGACGGAACATWATTTTTTTTCTTAACTAGTTTCTTAATATTTATTAACTTATTTTCAAACTTGAAAGCATTGATACTCTCTAGTGATCCAAAGTGCATGGAATCACTGGCCAAAGGACTCAAACAGTGGCAATTATATGTTAACATTAAATCATCATATAAAAAAGGGACTCTGAGTAAGAAATCCTTTATCAGCTCCTCTGCGCATTTATTATTTTGTACACAATCTTCAGCATTGAGGAGAATTCGCATTGCAAGACTAAGTTGCAAAAAATGAATGTACCTCTCTTCGTTCAATATGTCCTTTAGTACAACCTGGCCTGTATACAAAGGAACTGACGGAATTCCGTTGCTTTGAAGCGGTCTATCTCTTTTAAATCYCGTGGTTTCCTACAAAAGTCTCTTGGTATGTAACGCGCAATGGATTGAAATTCTGTGTTTAGTTTTCGTATATCATTTTGTTGCAAAGAATAATTGCAATTTTTAACTTTTATCCAGCATCCAAGCAAAGCCTTCATTACACCCAAACATACCACGTGCATGTAATCTAGAGCGAATACTTGGATCACGTCGATTGGAAGTTTTTCAATCTCCAAAGAACTTTGCTGGTTGTGATGGCTGACATCAGTGCTTTGCCGAAAATTTATATTTGTGCGCAAAGGATGATTTTGATAATGGAATATCATACGATTCTCTTTCTTTGACTCCAAGCATAAGTGCCTTAACTGGTGCATCCAGAATAAATGTTAGACATTTTATTACAAAAGTTTTGTTTTCGTATGAGAATCCATTTTGGAGAAGATCGTTTAACTCAGCGACAAATTGTGCCAGAAACTTATTCACATCATTGGGATGAAACTTATTCACATCACAAAAAATAGCTACCACGAAAACTGAATCCGTCCCATTTACATTCACTAAAATAGGTCACACGCTCTTCAGCGAACTTTTCGAAATTGGCAATCCATCGATGTTAAAGTTCAATTCTAAAATATTTGTATGCGTTTGTACATATGTATTTATAATAAAGTAAGTTTATAAGATACCAAATATCACGGTTTCGTCAAATAGCGAATCTTAAATTTTATACTCTTGGAATTGAAGACACTAGATGGAGATAAATATAGATTTATAGATACATAATGATCAGGATGAGGAGTTGCAATCCGAGTGACTGTGTGACGGCCCGTCTGTCCGTGGAAGCGAGAATTTGAGTAAAAAATAAAATATCGTTATAAAACTGCGTGCAATCGTTCCGTGGCAAAAAAGAGAGAATGCAAGAATTAAGCAGTAAATTAAGACATAACAAGTCGGGAAGGGCTATGTTCGGGTGTAACCGAACATTTTAAACTCTTGCAACATGCAGGAATCAAAGCTAGCGACATTCCTTCAAAAACTGGAAAAATGTATAGTTAAGAAGTAGGAAAAAGCTAACTTCAGGTGTAAATGAACATTTAATACTCTTGCAACTTCTACACATTAAAGCCGGAGAAATATCTTCAGGTGTGGGCAAGACTTTAATTCAAAATTGTTGCCAAAGAATTCAACATTTAAAGGGGTAGTATTGATCGGATTTTATCTATTTTTCGGTAATACCACATACATACATGCTAGCTTAAATATATGCTCTCATATATCATATATCTCACTTATACAAATATTTGCAGGTATCAAGTCAACCTTATGCGTTAAAACCCTCATATTAGTTATATGGCTGCTAGGACAAGTTTTCACCCTATTTTATCCATTTATGCACAAGGATACATTGTTATTAGAAAAATATGTTCTTTCTATTTCATTAAAATAACTGACATATTGATCGATATTTATGACATTAAGTCAGCCGGAAGATTTTTCCATTAGGTATTTGGTGTTAGAAAATTCGATGTATAGTACACGCATAAGCAGAATATCCTAATAAAGAGTTAAAAATAATAACTACATATATTATTAACATTATAAACGTTGTTGCTCTTGCTAGAGTTTTGAAATACTCATCTATTATTATCCTGGGTATCCTACAAAAATTTTATAAATTGTTTTCGCTTGTCATTGGCACCTTGCAGCTTAAGCTAATATTTTCATTTCTGTCACTGTAGTAGTCTTTCTTAGATTCGGGAGGGTTAATTATAGTGTGAGTTCCATCACTATAAAATTATATAATATTTGTTATCTAACGTACTTGCAGCTTTAGTAAAAACATATTTTTTTTTAAGGGACCGCATTTTTATATCTTGAGGTCTTGAGGACCTAAAGAGCTTATACGAGTATACACCACTCGTGTAATAATTCGGTTTACTGTTGCAATGGCTATATCGAACCGATCTCCAGTATCTCTGAAACTACGCCTCTAATGACCAGCAAACCACAAAACGACTATCATATGCATCTGTATATAAAGTTGCATAAAAAAGAAAACCTTCAAATTCTATGCAGAGCTTTCTGTTTAAACTTCTTGAAATTCCATAATGACAACAAAATTCCTGCTCGCTACTTAGGTTTCCTTTTATCATTCGGGATAGGAAAAACAAACTACTTTTAAAAATCGAAAATCGCTTTATTGTTTTTCAAAATATTCTTCATTAATTGTCGAAGCACCTTTGCAACTATGATTGAGGTATCTGTCTTTTGAATTGATCAGCCGCCTCTTCAGGTTTCGAAAAACGTTGAGCTGTTCGTTAATTTTTTGGGAATGAGAATAAAGGCAGGCATTCGGTGCCACTTCAGAACTATTCGGGGAATGACTCATCAAATCAATGTTTTGAGTGCTGAAAAATGCAGTTGTTTCATTTGGTGTGTGAGAGCAACAGCAACAAATGGTTGTATACCACACTCGGCGTAGTTCCAGTGGTATGATTGCGACCTGTCTTGTTTTTTCACCAAAAACAGTCAACATTTCTTTTTACATTCAAAGGTTCATGCCATATTGAATATAATACTCATTAATTTCTTTCTGTGCCCCTTTTATAAAGATGAAACAGAGGAACTAGAGAAAATTCGTGGATATCGCCTAATCCCTGAAAATACTGTTCCGCAAATGCTACGCTCCCACCAGGTGCAGAACTTTGTTAAAGAAAATAGCGCGACCGCCCTAATAGAGCTTAGAAGCAACGAATGGCAGAAAAAGAGCAAGAGACGGATGATTAACGTGGAGTTGATAAATTTTTAGATCGAAAGTCAACCGGCTGAAACATCTCCTTGTGGAAAAATGCCTGGTGGCCCGCAAGGAAAACAAAGTGCTGTAGGAGACGGAGTTAGGGTTTGGTACGTAGGCGTCCTACTTCGCTAGTTCTGCACATGGTAACACTGGCGGCACATGCGCGTCGTGCATGCCATTTAAAACATGACGGTATCTTTCGAAGATTCCCCCTCCGGCAAAAACAAAAATCAAATGAGGCAATACTTTTAATGTAAACATTTTCAATGCTACGACAAATCGAAGAATAAATGCACTCAATGGTGCACTTGAAAATTAATCAACCGAGTTTAAATATTTACAATTCAAAAGACAAAATAACAATTAACACAATGCATCAAATATCGCTTGTTTACACATGTGTTTTAACAGCTGTTTCTTCATATGGCAGTAACTATTTTTTGCTAGCAGATATTTCAATATCAGAAACTAGCAGCTCTCTCAGCTTTTAACGCTGTCAACTTCTTATCACTTCTGCTAATTTTTGGGTTATGAAAAGTCTTTTTGGCAAAAGCTTTGCTAGCTAGTGATGGTAAGCAGTTAAGAAACAATCTTAATATCAATTTCGTCTAAATTCATTGTATTAAACTTAGAAACAAATGTCAAAAATCTTTTGCGAGCTTTTCTTATATAATCTTCAAAAAATTGACAATCTTTTTCTAAGGTTCAATAGCAATCTGCTATCATGTGACGATCTCACGAGCTTTATTAATTTCTTTTATACTTGGTGGAATCGCCTTGGCTGTTTATTACCATAAGAGATACTCTTACTGGAAACTTATATTTGCGCATAGAAACGGAAAATTTGTCAGCAAATTCAAAAAACAATATCCTTCCATGTCCAACGCTTTGACAAATTCCTTTATCATTCCTAAATTTACGTATTAATCACTGAGCTAATTTTGAGCAAATAACTTGGACAATGACGTTTAACCCTCCCTTCCATTAGCAATAGTAGCGTGCACCGATTTCTGAGAATTTGGCGCCATCATTTTTTTCTTAGAGCATACGAATTACTTTTGAAACGGAACTCAGATTTTCATTTCGAAACAGAACATTTATATATGTATAAATTCACGTTTTGCTTCTGTTAAAACCTTCCACATAATTTTTCCCATATTTTCGGTGGGGATCATGCTAAGCTTGTATACGCGAAAGAAGTGCGCAGAATCCTAATCTTGACTGAAATAGTATAGTTCATTGCGAATAAGCCGATAACTGGTCAAAATATAATATAGACAATAATCATAAAAAGAAGAACACTTTTAAAACATTCATGAATAAATTGGTAATCTGGGCATTTGAAAATATCAGAAATATGATAACACCGTAAACCGTTCTTCGAATTCAGAATGCAATCCACGGTATATCAGAAAAACTTTATTGAGATCCAGTATAAAGATTCGACTATTTTGCTTATAACGGTGTGGAGCCAATATATTAAATAAAAACTGCCTTTGAATGGATATAATGGAGAAATAATTATGTGACCAGATTAATCTTCCGATCTACGTCTTATGGAAAACTCAAGGCGAGGTTTAAAGAAAACAGTGTCGGCAATCATGCAAATAATAATAATCTCAATTTTTGTTATATAATATATGAATCTTATAAAACGAATATTTAGACATCATTTTTAAGGATTGTCTTACATTTGCATTTAGCATATATGAATAGTGCATGTGCAAACCAAATCAGATTGATTTAAAATTACTTTTCCGTTCACATTTCATTGCTAGAAACTACGAACGAAAATTTATTTTAATTATATATATTATTTATAATTATTATGGAACAATCGTGTTTAGATTCGCATTCCTAACTAATTTGTTATCTTTTATAACTACTTTGTACTTATTAAATTACTTAACAATAATACTAGTTTTTATAACTTCCCTGAGACAGAAACGGTATTCTAATTTGGAACGATTTATTTCATATTTATGCCATATGTAATATTAGGTTGTCAAAAAAGTCTTGCGGTATTTCTTACGGTATTTTTATTGAATTTTCAATTGTTCATAAAGTTTTTTTTTTGATGACTCATTCCCAGCTCTTGACCGATGCTACGGCTGCTACTATGCTGGTCTCCTTTGACCAATTCAGCGATTTTACCGCAATTTTCGACGACATGCCTGCCGGAGCGTGGCGCATCTACACCAGAACGAAAACGTTGTAACCATCGTTGTGCGGTGGAAATGGAAACTGTATCGGGTCCATAAATTGCACAAATTTTATTGGCGGCTTGAGGTGCATTTTTGCCTTTTTCGTAGTGGTACTGTAAAATATGCCGTATTTTCCCTTTATTTTGCTCCATGTTTGCGACGCTATAACTCGCGAACGACTTAAAAGAAACGACAATCAATCAAACACGTCTTATCGCGTGAAAAGAGCTTTCCTAAAAAGGTATAGCATGACCCGATGCGACAAATAAAACTAGAACTATACGCTCTCAGCGCCAACTAGCGAAAATACAGCAAGACTTTTTTGACAACATAATATTATATCTGTCTCTCTGAGTTTGTGGATATGAACTGGTTTGTTAATCTCGCAAAGCTCTGTCCTTTAAATGCATTAGAAAAAGTAAATGGTTATTCCATAAAATATATCCATTTGATTTAATTACAATAAATATCGTAATAAAGGTATCGTAATCCATTTCGATGTTCTCTACTCTTTTAAAGAAAAAACACAGAAGCCTAAAATTAAAAATTGGTTATTATCATTCGAAAGCATATTCCTTTGCATTTATTTTTTGAAGATCATCTCTTTCAAATGTTGGCCGAGACTACGTCTCAGGTGGTCCATCCGTTGAGTTCGATTTTCACCGGGAAAAGTCTAACGGTGTGATATCACACGATCTTGATGGCCAATGGACCTACCCAAAACGTGAAATGATCATTATTATGATTGATGCGATGGGTGGGAAGTGGCGTCGTCATGTTGAAAAAAAGTGGTTTCACCTCTGGGCTGTGGGACGGCTACGGAAGCGTTAGGATTTGCGGTTTGGACCACTCACAGAAACACGTCGCGCGAAAATGTGTGTCCAGACTCTCTACCAAGGATAATGAGATGCTCAACTTATTCCAGTGTGAGAGCGCCTCAAAATAAGCGCTTTTTATAATATTTTCCATTATGTCCAGATCGCACGAAATAAGAATTTTTGGACATTTTAAATTAACAAATCTAACATTTATTCCGATTGCAAATTATTATATATTGGACTTTTAATATATGGCGAAAATCCTTTAAATCCGTTTTTATGATTTTATGGTATATTAAAACAACTGACTTTCGATATTTCAATACTTAATAAGGTGAATTAAGCCTGTTAGTTCTAAATTAATAAATGTTTTTAATCATTTGTAATAGAAAATTAATTCTATTATGCATCAAATTACAAAACGTTTCATAATATACATTTAAATTTCGCATTTTCTTTGATTTTCATTATTTTAAATTTTTATTAGCGATCTTGAACGGCGGCAATAAATTCCTCCTTCACATATATATTTGGTATAATTTCAATCTAGCCGTTCCAGTCATTCCAATTGCAAAACGTCAAAACCTACTCGATCCAGTCAACTGTCAAAGTTCGGTAGGTTTTGACGTTTTGCAATTGTTCTCTCACTTCCAGTGAGAAAGGAGTTGGGGATCTCATTATCTCTGCTCTCTACGTTCTCGTAGACAACTGTGGTTCGAGTTACTACGCGCGGCGCCGAATCGACTCTCCACTACATATCTTCGTGTACACTTTCAGCTACGGTTGCTACATTTTCTTTACTGCCTGCTGGACGTGGTATATTCGGTTGAATATTATGCAATAATGAATGCTGGGTCTAGGTAAGGTATAGTCCGACAAGTTAAAGAAATCGAGGAATGTTGACGGTTGGAAATTTTTATATTTAATATATTATATAAGGTTTAGGGAAAGGTGTAGACTAATTGAGTTCATTTACGGAGGAGACTCGCCACATATCTAAACAAATATAAATATTTCTTACTTCTACCTGTATGGATGTGAATTTGAATAAGCGTAATTAGCTAAAATGGCTATGCAAATGATGTTTCGCCTTCTAATAGGTAAGAAATAGTATTGAATAGTAAATACGTTTCAAACTGACCTAACCTATACGACATCACAATTTATAATGGGTAAAGGTGACTGTTATTGTTGTTATTTACGCTTTACTTGCACTTCTCTTTGTCACGAATTTCAGTCATATATATCTACATACATATATGCATATGCACAGAAGTAGGTACATATAAGCAGACTACATGTAGTACTACAATAGCTTTTGTTGTTATTGTTTTTGAGCAGAGAATTCATAGAATAGCACCAACGTGAGTATAAAAAGCCGGTGTTTCCGCCTTATTTTACTTCACATCGATCAGAATGAAGTTCTTCGCTGCACTGTTGCTCTTGGTGTGTTTGATTGTTGCGTGTCAAGCGCAAGGAGGTGGCGGTGGCGGTGGTCGATACGGTGGAGGTGGTGGTGGACCATACGGAGGCGGTGGTGGTCCCTATGGCGGAGGTAGCGGTGGGCCCTATGGAGGAGGTGGCGGACGCCTTGGCGGTGGCGGTGGTGGTCGTTTTGGCGGCGGCGGTGGTGGACGTTATGGTGGAGGTGGCGGCGGTGGGCGTTAAATAAACCTACTCTTCGAATTCGAAAATAATTATATTTTTGGCTTAAGAAATATAAAAATCAGAAAATCATGAAAAAATTGCAAACTATTTTGAGTGCGTCAATCTCGCAATATTACTCAAAGTCTAGTTTCAAGTTAATGACGTATTACGTACTAAAAGTTCTATATTAGTGTATTTTAGTGTTTTTGTATTAAAAAGAAGAAATAACGTTAACTTCGGCTGTACCGAAGCTAATATACCTTTCACAGGTGCATTTCTTTTGGTAAATATGTGTTCAGTTTGTATGAAAGCTATATGTTATAGTGAGCCGATCTGAACAATTTCTTCCGATATTACATTATTTCTATAAAAAATAACTCATACCAAATTTCGTGAAGATAAATCGGCAAATGAGGAAGTTTCCCATGCAAGCATTTGATATCGATCATTCAGTTTGTATGACAGCTATATGATATAGTGAGCCGATATGTACAATTTCTTCGGAGATTACATTGTTGCCTTAAAAAATAATCTATACCAAATATCGTGAATATATCTTGTCAAATGCAAAAGTTTTCCATGCCAGTAATAAATTCCGATCGTTTAGTTTGTATAGCAACTATATGTTATAGAGGTCCGATATCGGCAGATTCGACAAATGAGCAGTTTCTTGTAGAGAAAATGAAAAATATAAAAACGATATCTTAAAAACTGAGGAACTAGTTCATATATAAGTATATACCGAGAGACATTCAGACGGACCGACGGACATGGCTAAGTCGACTCAGCTCGACATACAGAACATTTATATATATACTTTGTAGGGTCTCCGACCCTTCCTTCTGGGTGTTACAAACTTCGTGGCAAACATAAATGTGCAAATATATATGTATGTTATATATGTAGTATAGTATATTGATTCGTCGAATCGTCTATCTGAATCTACCTTGCAAGGTAAGGCAATCTGCTGCTTTACTCACTGGATCAATTCGATCAATAGTCAGGATCTATCAGTCTGGTTGTAGCGCCAATACAACTCTTTTTTCGAGTGTACATACTCATATAGCATACATTTACCATACCAGATGTTGTATGGTTTCCCGAGGAATGTTTGTCCATTCGTCCCGAACGCCTTCCATAAGTTCTGCCATATTTTTTGTGGCCCTTTCGTGTAAACCAAATCGTCATTTTACCAAGCACCACAAATTTTCGATTGGGTTTAAATCTGGGCTTTGCGCAGGTCAAATTAGCTTCTGGAATTTCTGTTCGTCCACTATCTTGGCCGTGTGTTTCGGGTCCCCATCCTGCTGAAAAACCATTTCTTCCTCTGGATATGTGCACTCGTCCAAAAAATCCGGCAAATTTGTTTGTATTATTTGAAGATAGTCACTCCTTTAATTTTTACGAGTGGTCCCATATGCCACCACGTGAAATAATCCCATATCATTAAGCTTCCACCACCATGTTTCACGGTTTGCTTGACGTGGTGTTTTTAAATGCGTTCATGTGGTCTGTGCCAATAACATTGTTTGCTGTCTAATTAGACTACTTATGGAGAATTATTGAGTATATGCTCAATTTATTCGAAGATTTCATAATGTGGAAAACTGAGTGCATTGCTCATATTTAGTTTTTGACTGTAAGTCAATTTTTTTGTTTTAGTTTAACCTTTTTACAAATGACATTTTTTTAAGTACATAATAAATAATTAATGCTGAAAATTTCGTTGAATTTGATTTAATATTGAGGAAGTTACAGATATTGAAACATAGAATTTTCAAACATGCACTCACTTTTGCTTGCCACTGTAAGTATGTATACGAAATATTTCTTTGCGGTATGTGGTGATGGCAGCAGAGAGGAAAGGGCTCTCCTCTGGAGTAGAAAAATCAAAGTGGACAGAAGAAAATAGAACTGACTGCATGTATGATATATGTATATGTACATATATAATAATGACATCTTGAAAATAATGCCCATTCGTTATTATGTACTTATCTATCTTCTGAAACTAGATTTTAGGGATAGCTAAAGAGCTGAAGTCTTTCAGCGATTATCATATATTTTGTAAAACGATGATCCTTTAAGGTTGTGAATAGAAAAAGTCATGGCTATGTCTGAGGAATATCGATGTTGGGATATCGTTACAGTCTTGTTTTCGGCCAAGAATTAACGACAATCATCAAGCTCATAAAAACTTTGTCAGTCCAAAGTAAGCAATGAAGACAGCTGGAAATTATATCGGAATTCAGGGGCATGTATACTAACATAATAAAAAATTTACAAGAACATTCCAAATTCGCAAAATTTTAAGTTGAAATTCTGAAATTCCCTTTATTCTCTAACCCACTATACATAGGTCCGTTCTCATGTGTCAAAATTATATTTTCTTTAAACATTGCCAACATATTCGAATTAAATATTAATTAGAGCTTTATTGGCAGTACTAAAATATAAATAAAAAAACATGGAAAAATTAAAAAAAAAAAGTTAATTACTTTTTTTATTTATCAACATTTTTTCATGTTTCTAATTGGGACGATAACCATTCACGTACTTTTTAAGAATATATTGGGGTTTTGTGTTTCAGATGATCCAAACATGAGAAATCGTGTCCGCCAGTGAAAAAACGCATCTCATTCACCCAGCCATTTCTCCGACAGATGTCATCAAAAAATTCCGAAAAAAATTGTTTGTACACTCCACGATATACCTCATGATATGTGAAAATAATTTTATTGTAGAAAAAAAATTTATATGAAAAAAATGTCAAAAAACAGGCCAGATTAACCTACTGACCCCTTAAAGTCTTCAAAGAATATTCAACGGTGTTACTAGATTCCTATAACTGAGGGGTAATATACAACTTCTATTACCTCGAAATCCATTAAATTAAGTGTTATGTCATTATTGCGCTTATAAAATGAAATTTTTAAGATTTATTTTTATATTTTTGGATGAACAAAATAATTCTTTATAATATAATAATATACGATGAATATTAGTCTCTAAGAAATCTATGTAAATAATTAAGGCCAAAGTGTGAACGGCTCAATATTTTGTATCTAAATTATATAGAAACTTTGGGATAGTCCTAGAGAGCAAAATTAAAGGTTAAGCAAAGAAAAAATGGTTTACCGTTCTTTATTATTAAAAATACTATACATGTATACACTGGACTGGTGTATTTAAAAATGAAATTTAATTTTTTTTTTTTGCTTAGTTAAACACTTTTATGTTCTATTGAAGATTAATCTCCTCAATATATGTATGTATGTGTTTTAGAAGACTCATGACGGATTAACGGATTTTTCAGTTTCAAACACAGAAAAAGTCCAGGTAGCCAAATTCGCGAATAGGGTGGCTGAGCTATAACTCTCTTATGCTAACTCTCTGATACCAACACGATGATTTTCAGGCACTATTCCTTTAACTTTTTTTTGTTACGTCATTAACGGAGGTGGATGGACGACTCACACGAGACAAGTTTTCGATGACTACAGGACTTTTACTGAACTGATGAAGTAGACCCCAAAACAAGTCTGCAACATTTTTAATAATTACGTGATTCCGTTGGAAATACAAAATTTTAAGCGAAATCGTTGCCAAATTTATCCAATGGGAAATATTTATGTTAACAAATTTGTATTTTTATGCCTAAGTATTTCAATTTTGTTGAAAACACTATTATTTCTGCGGTCCACTCTTCATATTTCCGAGCAAAATATACAACTGTCTAACAAAAGGAATATATCGATATAGGTATTTAAGTGCTAATGTTTTTACAAGCTCGACTTATGTACATATGCAGAAATAATACTAATATGCAAATGAAAACAAAATAATTTACAATAAATTTTCTCATCACATTTCATTGCCTGAAGTAAAGGGAAAAATGATATATGTATGTATGTAATTATATTTTTCATTATATAATTGCATATTCCGAGTGGAAATTTACGTATCTAACTAATTTCTTTCTATTTATAATTATTTTGTGTTTGTTATATTACTTAGTAATAATAGTAGTTTCTATACCTTCCATGAAATAGAAACACTATTATAATGATTTATCTGATATCCGCTTGGTATCAGTACTAAAACTTGAAGGAAAAGGGATACAACCATGAAATTTTGTATAAAATATGTGTATCGGTAGAGAACAGTATTGAATGGATTCAGAAATCTCACCAACTTATAAGTTTACAAAAAACTGACGGAAAATCATAAATACCTAAATGCTTTTAATAATAACTATATGAAGCATTTGTCGGATTTGAACGGATTGAAACATAAAAGTAATGCGATTTTGTATTATAAATCTTTTGATTGGCTAGTTGAGGCTCTAGTTAAGGAGACACAGTTGCCCAAAGTAAAGTATTTTGTCTGAACATTTAGTGTTATTTAAATAAATTTGCTTTATTTTAAAAATGGAATAAAGACTTCGGCTTAATGCGTAGACATCTGCTGCAGTCTATTCGATCGCAGCCCTATTCTCCAGGCATACGCCGCCAACAGACTGTAACCAATAGGTATTCCAATTGATAATACTACTTACCGTGCGATTCTGTACTGTGATACAGTCTCAAGTCTCTAAATTTGAGATTTTGAGTTAGAGACAATTTTTGAGACTTGAGACGATTTTGCTATTCTGTAAGTGACAGTCGCAAAATCTATTACAATTCTTAATTCAGAGATGTTGTTAAACTTCAATGAAAATAAATACCTATGTCGATAACAAATATTAAATTTTCTATAACATAGTCAAAAAACATAATTATCAATAAATTTAATTATTTTTAACCTTTTCGTGTTTTTGTTGCTTACAAAATATAAAAAAATAACAATCGATTAATATCAATGATGATCTCAGTATATTCAAAATGGCCGACAAGAGTTGTTTTTGGTTTTGTGACCAGGTCTCAAATTTGAGGCAATATTTGAGACGAACGCTAGAGACTGTTTAGTGAATAGTTACTAGTCACATATTGAGATTTTACCTCAAAATGTCTCAAATAGAGACTAGAGACTGGTTACAGAATCTCGCCATTAGTATGTATTTAAATTATTGTAAATTTATATTATAATTATTGGTTTTACAAAATATGTATTCATAAAGTCTCCTCAGAATTGGTACACTTGTTATTTTATTTTATTGGGTTATTTCTCCACAGGATATGCTGAACATTAATATATATTCTTAATGGAACTTCCACTGTTGCTTACATTCGGGTGGAGCAGAATTGGGCCTCGGTCAAGTTTAAGCAGTCACATCTTATATGTTATAAATGTTAATCCAAAACAATACTTTTCCGATACTCTAACTAGTTCATTTTATAAGATTATATGTGGTATTATTTACGTACAATATGTATGGTGAATAAATAACATTAGGGGAATTGATTTTTGATTTCATTTAGTTAATGATGTCTAAATGGTAATTTTGATGCATCCTGTGCCACAATGTCTTTAATTAATCTTTAATTGTCATGATTTAACACCGTGCAACATATTGTGCAAAGGTATTATGAACATGGCACAGCTTCCGAGCGATATATGTAGTTTACATATATTTTAATAAAGAAATATTGTCGCATTAATTTTTTTAGGGAGTATTCTAAAACAATTCCATATATATGTGGCCTAGGGCAAATAGTACCGATAGGGCAAATTTATGGCAGTGCTGACCTCTACGACAAGAGAGACATTTTACAACAAACAAAAAATTGTTCCCAGTAGCGACCGTGATATGCGGTATAAAGTCAACCAGAAGGAATGCTTCGAATAATAAAATATTGTATCAGGTCCCTCTTATCCAAAATTGACCCCGACATAACAAATACATCGACCACTACTTTTTAGCATGCTCACTGAATGCTCTCATCTAACACCTCTTTCCCTGTCCTGCCTGGAACCGCTACAACAACGTCAAAAATATGGGCTCTTTCATTTTATGGGACCTTGCTCAGATATAAAAAAACGTTTGGTAGCAATTCACAGCAGACATATGCACATATATTGTAAAGAATACAATATGAAAGTCAGCTGAAAATTCATTGATTCGATATAGTCGGGGGTACAGTTTGATAATATTTAATACGCTTTGACACTAAATCACACCGTGCTATAGGAAAAACTCTGATATCATTTTATGAAGACATTTTAATTATTGACTGATATATAATTTATATTATACATATTATACGCTGTGAAAGTCGAGTGAAACTTTATATGTATATTGTGCATTGTACATGGTATATAAGGGAAAGTATTGAACGATTGCAACGATTTCTATATGTGCAAAGTATTTTACGCGATAGCTTTGTGAATTCTTGAGTTACCTAATGCAATAGGAAAAATAAACTGTCAAAAAGTTTTTAAGTGGAAAAGAAGCGCAGTTGTGGTCCAATCTCTTCAAGGCTTGGATTAAACAAAGAGTGCAACAAGAGAATGCTTTATACCAAATCATCATTGTGAAGAAATGTTGAAGGCTTGTATTACTTAAGTCAAGTATATCAGTGCTGACGAGTCCATGCCTGGACTTCCTTACCAATCTCAACAAAGTCTCTATTTGTATAAAATGTGGAGATAATCACTTATAATTTACTTATCTCCACTTATCTACATACTATGTGTAGAGACCAAAACGAATCGCTCAAATAAGAGCATACCCCGTGTAATTTGTCACGACAAGAGCATATTTATAAACATATTAAATGTAATTGTTATTTGTTGACTTCGGCAATTTTCGACTGCCAATAAGTTGGAGCATAGTTTTAAATAAGTATAAAAGGGCGTATAGGAAGCGGATTTTACAACACTTCAGATTTGTCATCATGAAGCTTCTCTATCTACTGCTACTTTTTGTGTGTCTAGTTGTTGCCGGTGAAGCTCAACGTAGAGGAGGCATGGGTGGAGGTATGGGCAGAGGCAGTATCGGTGGACGTGGCGGTGGCGGTCGCATAGGTGGAAGAGTAGGTGGTGGACGTATCGGTCGTATGGGTTAATTCCTTTGAAGATATCCATTTAATATAAAGATTATGTTGCCCAGAAATATATATTTGATAAGCTTTATATAAAGATAAATGTTTTTAAAATGCTTTTAAGGTGTGTTTTAATTAAAATGTTTTGGACTTAGAATATAGGAAGCAAAAATTGAATATAATAATACGCGTAAGAACATTTCGTCGTAAATAATATTGATGTATAAAACTTTATTCGATATGGTTTCGCCAGATAGTAGCTTTTGCAGAAGTTTTCAAACAGTTCGTTTATTGATCAATAGCAGAAATAGCAGTTGCTATTGGTATTGACAACGCTGCGCGAACCGAAGATTTTTGAAACTCCCCAAATTTCTCTCCGGTATTCGACAGGCCATGTTTTCCAACACTTCAATCAGTCGTAATACTTTATCTTACTTAGGGTTTTCACAAGTCTCATAAAGTTATAAGTTATAACGATTCGAAAACATAGCATTGACAATTGTAAATGTGTAAGCTCATTTTTGTATGAAATGTAACAACTATTTTTTTAAACAAGTGTAAAAATTTATAATTTTACGATTTCACGATGATTTAGGACGCGTTGTGAGTAGGTACCCCAACTGTATTTTTTATCTGTTGGCAACTGCATTGATAAAACTCAACTCAAACTGGCTTTGTCCTCTTTTGGGTGAAAATACATATCTTTTATTAATATGAATACTTGAAATTATCCAATATAGAACCTTTTCACAAAGGACAACAACAAAGTTATTAGGTTAAATTCTTAGAAAGAGAGTATATCATTACCTCCTTTAAGTGATAGGGCCGCTTGCTTGTAATGCTCTATTATCCACTCGTCGACTACATGCATATAATAACGGGATTCTGTAACCAGTCTCTAGTCTCTATTTGAGACATTTTGAGGTAAAATCTCAATATGTGATTAGCTATTATTCACTAAACAGTCTCTAGCGTTAGTCTAAAAAAATTGCCTCAAATTTGAGACAAAACCAAAAAGAACTCTTGTCGGCCATTTTGAATATACTGAGATCATCATTGACATTAATCGATTGCCGTTTTTTTATAGTTTGTAAGCAACTCAAACACGAAAAGGTTAAAAATAAATAAATTTTATATAAATTTCGTAAATATTATGAAACAAATTCAACATATATTTTTATTTTTATTGATAATTTTGAAATATAATAGATTTAGTGACTGTCACGTACAGAAAAGCAAAATCGTTTCAAGTCTGAAAAATTGTCTCTAACTTAAGGGGCTATTCTACTCTAGAATTCTGAAAAATTCGATATTTTTTCATATATTTAAAGTTTAGACCCTTAAGAACATAATTTAGAGACTTGAGCTTATATCACAGCATAGACTGTGCCGAAGCTATAGTCTCCTTACTTTGCTTATCAAAGTTTTTATTTTAACTAGGAAATAAATGTATATTCTATGTAATATAATGTATATATATTTAAGAAGACTATCGGAATCCTCCGGTTTTACCAGTTTTAATAAATTGTTTAACATGTTTACGCATGTTGACCTTATGACAGTAATTAATGATTAATGTACTATACTAAACGCGTTTGTGTAATTTATATTTGTTGCCTCCAGAAAATTAGATATCATAAGGTTCTTAACGGGTATAAAAGAGCTTTCCTCAAGTCGGTTTGCACAATACTTCAGATTGGTCACCATGAAGCTTCTCTATCTACTACTTCTCTGTGTGTGTCTAGTTTTTGCCGAAGCGGCTCAACTTGGAAAGGGTATCGCTGGTGATCAGGATAGCGCTAGGGAAAATGCTAGACATCGCATTCCCCGCCATAGCCCAAAAATACTTAAAACACCAGGCGGCTAATTCTTTGCACATTTCCAATGGTAAACAGGGAGATTTCGGATGCCCGCACTGCAAATGAAATTGAAATCATATTGCTATTATGACAATAAAAGTTTAAAAAATGCTTTTACGTAGATTTTTATGTTTTATGACTCATTATTATTTTCTTCTTCTTTTTTGATGTAGACACCGCTTAAGCAGTTATAGCCGAGTTTACAACAGTGTGCCAGCAGTTCTTCCTTTTCGTTGTTTGCCGCCAATTGGAGATTACAAGTGTAGCCAGGATCTCCTAAACGTTTTCTCAGAACGAGTGTTTTCATCCATTTGGACGAAATGACCTAGCAAGCGTGGCAGCTGTCTCTCAATTCGCTGAACTTCTTGTACATATGTCTATGACGTTGTATATCTCATACAGCTAGATTGAAGAGATCGCACCTTGTCCTAAACCTCGTCTAGGACTTTATATGCGATTGAGGTGGCTTATCCCACGGTAGTTGCCGCAGATTGTGGGGTCTCGCGTATTTGAAAAGTTCGCTATTCGAACTTCTTTATGGTCGGGCAATGTAATGTCTGTTCCATCGTCCTCGATTGGAGAATCGGGATGGTCTACAATGGTCTACTCCTAGTGTTATACCTTCACCGAAATTCAGCAGACTGGAGAAGTGTTCCTTGTCTTTTCGTAGAATTTCCTCTCGCTTTCTTCTTCAACTATTGGTATCTATTCCATCCCGCATCGTACCAGCTGTTCTTTTGCATTTTCTGAAAGCCAATTGTTTCGTTTGCAGGTAAGTAAGGTTGTAAGGAACTTGAAATGCTGTCCAGCAGTTGCCTTATACCGAGTTGTTGACGAGTGCTCTCAAAGAGCAGGAATGCGAGCCGAGTAGAAAATCGTTCGCATATCTGTTCTGATTGTAACTTCTCGACGTCAAATCTTCCTTGTGTTTGCTGCACACAGACGAGGCGCATTTTGGCTGCAACAAGATAGTGGTTTAAGTAGGAGTGGAGACGTGTCTTCCGTCTATCACAACTTGATCGATCTGTTTGGTGTCTTTTCGGTCCGAAGCCAGTAAGGTAGCTCGACGAATTTTCCTTTGCTGGTTCTGGTACTACAGATACGGACTTTTCATCATGGAAGCTAACTCCACACTTTCGTAAACTTGTAAAATGGTTCCATATTGCAAATTTCACTTCCCAAGAGTATTTTTGTGCCTTATCATAAACGATAGTTTTACTTATACTTATACAATTACTTGAAATAAAAAAAAATTAATTTTGGTTGTCAACCGATAAACAAAATTGTTTGGCCATATATTTGTTTAAGTTTACCAAAAACCAAAAAAAAAAAATAATAATTAAATACTTATATTTGAAAATCATAGAATAAATCAACTGCAGCTGATCAATCAATAAAATCGTATAAAGAAACACATCAAACCCGTTTCAAAAACTACTTCCAATTAGACATTCGAGTAGGTATACATAAGCAATTCGTAGAAGACAGTTGTTGCATGTGAAATATGTGTAAAACATTTAGCAATATATACATATACGTATGTACGTAGAAACCCTACAGTCAGTTAACCTGTGATAAAATCCTTTACATTTGGTTCGATTTGGTAGATAGTTAGTTAAGAGAGCAGCTCTTTTGTGGTCAATTAGCGCTAGTGGCATTTTGATACACTATCGTAAAATTTTTACGTTCAATCTGCTCAAAGCATTTGGTGCTCTCAATTAACTTACTTATCTCCGTTACGCGATTTGTAGATATTCAGTAATCATTCAAGTCTTGGTTGCTGATGGGTTTCAAGAGTTCTATGTCGGGCTTCTGATAGAGTGTGGCATTCATAGTCTGTCTATACTCTCCTATACCTACATAAAAAAATAACCTTCCGCTGTTTTTTTGGCAGTAATTTAACAAAAAAACAAGAATTAACTTTAACTTCGGCTGCACCGAAGCTAATATACCCTTCACAGGTGCATTTCTTTTAGTAACTATGTGTTCAGTTTGTATGGCAGCTATATGTTATGGTAATCCGTTCTGAATAATTTCTTCGTAGATTACATTTCTGTCTCAGAAAATAATCTATACCAAATTTCGTGAATATATCTTGTCAAATGCAAAAATTTTCCATACAAGAAATTGAATCCGATCGTTCAGTTTGTAGGGCAGCTATATGTTATAGTGGTCCGATATTGGCAGTTCCGATAAATGAGCAGCTTTTTGAAGAGAAAGTGACGTTTGCAAAATTTCGAAACGATATCTTAAAAGCGGAGGGCCTAGTTCGTATTATACAAACAGACGGACGGACAGACAGACGGACATGGCTAAATCGACTCAGCTCAACATACTGATAATTTATATATACACTTTATAGGGTCTCCGACGCTTCTTTCTGGGTGTTAAGAACTTCGTGACAAACTTAATATACACTCTTCGGTGTATAAAAAGGAAAAACATTGATTCTGCTTGCGGATTATTTTTATTTGGTCTTTTAAATTTTTTTTACATCAAGCCGATAATATGAAATCATGTAAATGGCCGCCTTCACAGTGGATTATCATTTGAGCCCTTTTTATGGCATTTTCCATCACTTTGGCCAAACTTCCGGCGATAGGTCCTCACATTCTTGACGGATATTGCCTAAGGCTTGTTGACATAAAGCCGTGACTTCAAAAAGCTCCAGTGCAAATAGCCAAAACGGGAGGTTAGACGCCCGGGAAATGCATCCTTCGTATGCATATCGGTTGTGGCACGTGCAGTGTGTGCCGTTGCACCGTCCTGTTGAAACCACATGTTTTCCAATCCCAATTCATCAAGTTGCGCAAAAAAAAACTTTTTGATCATTACTCTTTAGCGCTCACCACTCTAGTAACCGCTTCGCCCGCGACGTCTTCGAAGAAAAAAGTTCCAATGACTCCTCCAGCGAAAACAGCACACCATACAGCGACTTTGAGCGGGTGTAAGGCTCTTCGTGGGTTACACGCGGATTTTCAGTGCGCCAGAAGCGTAAATTTTGCTTATTTACATACCCGCTGAAATGGGAATGGGCCATGGGCCTCGTGATTATTTTTGATGAAAAATCATCTTCCTCTTTGTGGTGATTAAGGATGGCTTGATATTAGACGCGCCTGGCGGTCAGCAGCTAACGGCTGATGCACTGTCTGGGCTTCGTACGGA